AAACGAGTGATACAGTAGTTTACTGTTGCTGTAAACTGGAAAACAATCGCAGCTTTGGACAGCGTTTTTCCGGGAAATTACTCCTGGAAATCAACTTTGAACGCGGCATATAAAATCCCGAAAATTTCCCCTTCTTTTCTCAAAAAAAAAAGCGATCTAGATATAATTATCAATCCCCCCTAGATATCACAAGTCAATATCATCTACGAGACGCAGAACAACTAAAACCTGCGCGTGCATTTATTTTGCGCGTCTCATACCCTCTCTCTCTCTCTCTCTCTAAGTTCCGCTGTCTGCGTCTCTCGTGGCAAGAGTCTGGCGTCCTGCCCACAGCGTTTTCCTCTCTTTCTATCTTCGACCAAAGTCTCTTTTTTTCTCCTCTGCTGGGCGAGAGAAAAGAAAAAAGAAAAAGAGAAGAGTCTCTCTAGTAGCCCCCAGCCTTCTTCCTCTCCTCCTTCAACCAACAACGTCGAGAAGAGGAGGAGAAAAACACAGAGCCCCCTCTCCACACCAGTGCCTTCTTCCTGTTTTGTGTTTCAAAAAGAACTCTGTTTTTTTTCTGCTGACTCTTTCTTTTTTCATCGAATAAATCATCACTTTTCGGAGGCCCCAAAGCCTTTTGTTTTGTTTTTTTCTTTGTTATTCTTGCTAGATAGTTTGAAGTCAACTAGAGTTAATTGAAGCTCTAAATGAGTAATTAATTAAATGAAAACTTTCAATTTTCCCCAATTTTCAATGCTTTTGCGATTAGTACATTTAATCCAATTTCGTTGGTTTTCTAATCTCTTTTTTTTGGCATATTAGAATGTTTAGTCTTCTTGTCGACGAAGAGTTTGCTGATTTTTTTTTTCGATTTTTAGCTGTAAAATCCACGTCTTTTTGGACCTATTTCTCGGCGAATTGATGGCTTTCACAAAATTTTTTTAGAATTTTCAAATTTTTTCTGATGGAACATAATTTGAAATTCAAAAAAAAAATTTTGAGAAAAAATTTGAATTTTTTCGAATTTCCAAATTTGTCCCAGAACCCCTAAAATTACAATATTCACGTTAGAGCGCATTTAATTCAGAAAATTCACCGTGTTTCAGAACCAGACGTTTCGGAACCACAACGATTCGGAACTTTTCTGCATTTCTGCATAGTGGTTCTTGCACACCAAATGAACATTTCTCATTTCAATTTCGTGCTTTTCTGCTTTTTTATTCGTTCTCATCTACCGTACTCCAAATAGTGATACGTTCACACTCGGAATCTCAAAAAATCGAAAAAAAAATTGAAATTTTCAAAAACGATGTCTAGAAGTACGCAAAAATGAGACTCAAAGTCGCTGGTACTTTCAGACACCGTTTTGAAAAGTTCAATTTTTTTTAAACATCGGGTTCTGAAACGTCGGGTTCTAAAACGTCGTAGTTCCGAAACGCCGGGTTCTGAAACGCGACAGAGCCCGAATGGATGAACTTCAGACTACAAAAACAATTCTAGGGGTTCTAGAGCATATTTTGAAAATCGAAAAAATCCGAAAGTTTTCAAAAAAAAAATTTTTTGGATTTTCTGGATTTTGTCGGAAAAATCATATTTGAAAGAATTAAAATTTTTTCTGTATTCTGGCCTTAAAAATCCAAGATTTTTCGGACCTATTTCTCAGCTCGTTTGCGTCATTGGAACACATTGAACAAGTCAAAAACAACAAAAAAAGAGATCAGCTGGATTTTATTAGTTTCTGTTTTATTGGTCGTTCTCTATTTCCTTCCTATCTATTTTCTCATGTTTCTTCTTTTTTTTCTATTTTTTTGAGTGTACTTTGCTTCTTCCGGGATATCTTTAATTTTAAAGTGTGTAGAAAAATAAGTGAAATTCTGAAAATTCGAAAAGTCGCTTCTGGAATTGTTTTCAAGTTCCCGCCAAGCCTCAAGAATTTTTCTTCACTTTTCGATTGCTCTCTGCAAGCGCGCTCCATTGACACCACCCCGCAAATTTCAAATTTTTTGCAGTTGCGCGGCGTCATCGAACAAGGGAGAGGAGACCTGTAACACTATTAACCACCAACATCATCTTCATCATAAAATAATCAAAATTGCCACGTCACCGCAATCCACGACGACGACTACAAAACACAGGAGCCAATCAACTGGCACTTCAATCGACATCACGACGGGCTCACCAATCAACATTCTTGGCCAGAACGGCACCGGAGGAGGCGGCGAAGAGGGTGGAAAAGTAGAGGGAGGAGGAGAGACGAAAAAGTGCATGATTTCGGCATGGAAGGCGAGAGAAAGCGAACGGAATAAGGTTCGGCTCAGGGATACCGATGGATTTCGGTGTCGTGCGGCGGCGCTGTGTATCAAGGGTGAGTGGACGAGGAAAGTTGGTGGAAAAAACTAGGCCGGGAGTTTCAACAAATTGAAAATGGTATATTATTGTTGTCCGAAAAAACTGAAGTAATATAGTATTTTTTGCAGTCTGAATACGGTAGTTATCTCGAAGCAGCAAGCCTAAATAGCACATATTCGGTGGAGACGCAGAGAGATTTTTAGAAATCAGTTTTTTTTCATTTTTTTTTGCAAAATTTTTAGACTTTTTAGACATTTTTAAGTTTTTCAGCTATTTCCAATTATTCTTTTTCGATTTTCCCGTTTTTTTTGTCTGAAATTGAATGGGAACGGGGTCCAGGAACATAATCTAGCATTCTAAGCAAGGACAATCACGTCATAATTCGGCACAAAAGCACAAAACTACTACAGTAACCTACAGGAATCTTCTTCGACCCGGTTCCATCAAATTTCAGACAAATAAATTTCGGAAAAATCGAAAAAGAATCTTTGAAAATAGCTGGTATACTTAAAAAGGTCTAAATTTTTTTCGAAAATTCGCAAATATTCAGTTTTGGCGGGAATTCAAAAAATATTCGAAAACCTTCCAAAAGTTTCCAGAAATTGCCTTTTGAAGCGTTTTTTCTAGGGAATCCCCCATTCAGACGAATTTTCGCTAATTCTAGGTTTTTTTCAATTTCTACATGGCCTAGAATCCCCCTCAAAAAACTAGGCCAACTGAATCTTTGATTTTTCGGTCCTCTTTGTCATCTGATCTATTTCTTTGCCTTCACTTTTAAAAGTTCTCTTATCTCTTATCATTTTCTCTTCTCCCAAAAAAAAGTTTTGGTTTCATTGAACACACAAAAACCACTCTGCAGCAGCCTCCGCGCATCGTTTTCTAGGTTGCAGGTGATGGAAAAAAAACAAATAGTCTTTTTTGTCTACGTGTGGTTTATGGCTGAGCTACGTAGGAAGACTGAAAGATTAGGCAGTAAATGTGGTGGCCGAGGTTTTTTCTAGGCCACCATCTCTCAAAAAACAATTTTTTTTTTGTGTTTTTTCCAAAGATCAATTCTGGATGACGTTGAAAGTTCGTCGATTTCTGATAGATCAAAACGGGATTTTCTCGAAGGCTCCGCCCCTTTTTCGATGTCTATTTTTGTATAGAACGCTGATAAGCGCGCGGACGTCGCTGACAAAAATGTTTGTTTCGAAGACACTGACTGGAGAGAGTGAGAGACGCAGAGAATTAGATTTTTTAAAATAGTTCAGAAGATGGCCTAGAAACCCAAAACTAGTCCCTTTAAAAGTAATTTTTAAAAAAGAAAAAAAGAGAAAAACGCATAGTGGAAGAGCGGGAGATTTCTAGTCCCCCTGTTGCATCGAAGAAGCGCGCGAATTCGAAATTCTTCTAAAAATGATCTAAAAATACCCTAAAATGATCTAGAATATAGTTTGAAAAGGTCCAAAAATGGCCTTGAATGATCCAAACATTATCTGAAAATAGTATAAAGTTATACAAAAAATATGGTCTGAAATGGTCTAAAAATCGTCCTAAAGTTTTATAAAATGATCCAAAAACGGTCGGAAAAGACCTAAAAAATGATCCAAAATGACCCAAAAGGTCTAAAATGATCCTGAAATAGTCTAAAACGGTCTAAATTGACCCAAAAATTGACTTCAAAATAGTCCAAAATTATCCTAAAATGAGTCAAAAATGGTCCAAATTGACCTTAAAATTGTCTTAAATGATCCAAAGATGATCTAAAATTATTCTAAAATAGCCTAAAACAATCTTTAAATGGTCCAAAACTTCACCGCACATCATCTTTTAAAAAATGGGATTTTTTCCAGGAACTGGCAACGAGACACTGGTCCTTCTGGTCTCCGGCGGCAAAGATGGCGGAAAATGGGTTATCCCTGGTGGCGGCATCGAAAAGGACGAGTGTGCAGAACAGGCGGCGCATCGGGAGCTGATGGAAGAGGCTGGCGTTCGAGCGACGATTGTGAAGAGTATTGGAATGTTTCAGGTATGGAGATGGCCTAGATTTGGGGTCCTAGGCCACCAGGCATGTTCGGAACGGAATTCCGGTGATTCCGAAATATTCAAAATCGGAATTTTCGATATTCCGAAAAATTCCGAGAAGGCCACAGTTGTTTTATTACAGGACGACACTCGCAAACACCGTACTCAAGTGTTCCTGATGGAAGTCTCTGAGGAGCTCGACACGTGGGAGGAGAACGAGTACGGTCGTCAAAGGATATGGATGAATGTGCTGGAGTCAAAAGAGAAAGTCAAACAGTCACATCGTCAGATTCTCGACGCCCTGATGCCCCGGTAGTCTTCACTCCTTCAAGAATTCAAATTCATATTTTTCTAGAAAGTTACGGGATCTCTCATTCTCTCTCCTCCTCGATTTTTATCGGTTGTTACTTTTCCCAATTTATTTTGATGACGTGGCCTAGGCATGGCCTAAAAACTGGTTTTCTCTTCCACCCCCTTTTTGTCTGGAACAAAAGTTATAGCATTGCTTTGTACTTCTTTTCATATCATTCTTTATTTTTGTCCTGTTCCCCCCACCCCATCTTTTCTATTGCTTTACCCATTCTTGTCTACCCTCTCGTCCTGAAAATTCAAAACTAAAAAGTCATAAGCAAGCAAAAAAATAGAACACTCGATGTTTGATTTTTCTCTCTCCTTCCATCCATAGATGCCTATTTCCCTCAAAAAAATACAATTTATTGATAAATCATTATCAGGCATTATGGGTTTGATGCTGCTTATCAATTGCAAACATATCAAAGTCGGTCATTCGATATTCAATATTCAATATTTGAAACTCGACTCTTTTCCAATCAATTTGCCACGTGACTTCTAGGAAAAAATCGGTCAAATGGAAAAAAATGAGACATGACCTTAATATGCCACGTGGTGACCTAGTTTCCAAGAGCCACGTGGAAATTATTGACATCGCTAAGCTTTCTTGAAATTTACACGTGGATTTTCATAAATTTAGGTCAAAGATTAGCCAAAAAACGTTTTTTCTATAACGTGGCTTTTTGGATTTTTATGAAGATGATTTTAAACATTTTTATGACGTGGATTTTTAGATTTTTTTGTGACGTATTTAGCTCTTCAGATTCTAGAAAGAAAATTATGCCAAAAATCCGAGTTTTTCACGTTTTTTGAAAAATTTGTTTGAAATTGCCACGTGGGTTTTCATAGATTTAGGTAAGAAATTAACCAAAAAACCTGTTTTTTATGACGTGGCTTTTTGGATTTCAGAAAGACAATTATGTCAAATTTCCGCTATTTTCACGTTTTTGTAAAATTTATTAAACATTGCCATGTGGATTTTCAGATTCCAGAAGAAATGAACGACGTGGCTTTTGACCTAAATTTTTCTTTTTCCTTTTTTCCGGAAAAAAATTCTCTTTATTTTCCAAAAATTTTCAAATTTTCGCCTGAATTTCAGATGACGTTTCAACTCAGCGAGAAGACATTCAAAGTGCCTGTCGACCTCTTCGTCGAGAATCGTCAACGTCTTCTGGAGGCGCTCAAAACAAAGGTTCCCGCGAATTCCGCCGTTCTCCTTCAAGGAGGCGTCGAGAAGAATCGCTACAACACCGATGCCGCCGATCTTCCGTTCCGTCAAGAATCCTATTTCTTCTGGACTTTTGGAGTCAACGAGAGCGAATTCTATGGAGTGATCGATGTGACGACTGGAAAAACGACACTTTTCGCGCCAAGACTAGACCCGAGCTACGCGATTTGGGACGGAAAAATCAATGATGAGAAGTATTTCAAAGAGAAGTATGCTGTAGATGAGGTGTTTTTCAATGACACCGAGAAGACGATTGCAGAGAAGTTGAAGGCGTTGGCAGTGAAAAATGTTTATTTGTTGGTGAGTTGCTTTTTTAAAAAGAAAACCCTCTTAAAAGTTTCTTTCAGCGCGCCGAAAACACCGATTCAGGAGACGTGTTGACTGAACCAAAGTTTGCTGGAAGCCAAGATTTCCAGCTCAACACTCAACTTCTCTACCTTGAGATGGCTGAACTTAGAGTGATAAAAACTGAGAAAGAAATCGATGTGATGAGATACGCGAGTAAAATCGCCTCAGAGGCTCATCGAGCCGCCATGAAGCACATGAAACCAGGTCTCTATGAATATCAATTGGAAAGTCTCTTCCGTCACACTTCCTATTATCACGGTGGATGTCGTCATCTTGCATACACCTGTATCGCCGCTTCTGGCTGCAATGGATCTGTTCTCCACTACGGACACGCTAATGCTCCAAACGATAAGTTTATCAAGGACGGTGACATGTGTCTATTTGATATGGGACCAGAATACAATTGCTATGCTTCCGATATCACCACTTCTTTCCCATCAAACGGAAAATTCACAGAGAAACAAAAAATCGTATATAACGCCGTGCTGGATGCCAATTTGGCAGTTTTGAAGGCAGCGAAACCGGGTGTCAGATGGACTGATATGCACATTCTCTCGGAAAAAGTCATCCTGGAGCATCTCAAAAAAGCGGGGCTCATCGTTGGAGACATCGATAAGGCGGTCGAGGCGAGAGTTGGTGCAGTATTCATGCCACACGGATTGGGACATTTCATCGGATTGGATGTGCATGATTGTGGAGGTTACATGGGTGATGCGACGCCAAGATCAACACTTCCAGGCCTGAAAAGTCTCAGAACTACGAGAACGCTGAAGGATAGAATGGTACTGTGATTCTATTATTCACGTGAACTTGTATGAATTTTCACATGAAAATTTTTATGACGTGGATTTTTCCATTTCCGTTTTTCACGTGAAAATCAAGCTTTCCACGTTTTAACGTGAAAATTGTTCAATTTTCATTTTCACGTTTCACGTAAAAATGAAAATTTCCACGTGGATTCTTGGATTTCCCAAACTCTTCGCTTTGGCGGAAATTCGAATTAACTCTTCACGTCTTCCTTTTCCAGGCCATCACCATCGAACCCGGATGCTATTTCATCGACTTTCTTCTCGATGAGGCACTTGCTGATCCAGTGAAAAGTGCCTTCTTGGTGAAGGCTGAAATCGACAAGTATCGTGGATCAGGAGGTGTTCGAATCGAAGACGACGTCATCATTCGCGCCGCTGGAAACGAGAATCTCAGCGATCTGCCGCGTACTGTCGAGGAGATTGAGAACTTCATGGCTAGCGGTGGACAGTGGACCGAGAAGGACATCGAGCATCGTGTTTCCGAATTCTTGTCCAAGTAGAAGAGAGTTGATCAGCTTTATTTATTTATTAAACTCACATTTTCAATGTACTTATATAAGTTAACACACACATTTGTTTTCCGAAAACAGAGGGGTTTATTGTTTGGATGATCAATAAGTTATTTTGAAACGTCATTGACTTTACTTTGAATTATAATACGGTGCGAAATGTTATAAGAGAAGAAAAAAAGGTTAAAAATAAATTTAAGAATGGGAAAGCATCAGACTGAGCGCACCATGCTTGTAGGGGTGACGACGGTAAAACAGGTGTAGAGCAAGCCGAGTATCTCAGTGGTGTGGGATGAAGAGAGGGGGGAGGAAAGGGACAGAGAATTGCCTTCGGATTAGGTTTTTGGAAGTGGTGGAACGAGATGAAGGGAGGATATTTAGAAGGAGAAATATGTTTATTGTCCTCCGAGCTGCTCTTGGTACACCTCGATAACATCGTCGTCCTCCATCTCGAGCGACTTTGGAGTGTCTTCGTCATTGATGCGACGTCCGTCGAAGAGGAAACTGAAATAAGGAAAATTAAAGACTACTGAATGATCTAGATATCACTCACCGGAGACTGTTGACAGAGACTCCAGTGCGGTCAGCATACGACTTCTTCAGCTTCGCCATCGATGTTCCAAATTTGACTCGGAAGTGGACCTCGTTACTGTCCTGAAAATCATTGTATTGAAAGATTTCTAACAACTTCGAGGTATTACCTGTCCGACGACCTTGATCTTGATGTATTCGGCGTTGTCTCCTCCTGTAGGGGCGGTGTTAGCAGCGTCGTCAGCCATTGTTGTCTGTTGATCTGAATAGTTGGAAAATTGAAACGAAAAGGAACGAGTGTTGTCAAGGAGATAGGCGGTTCAGAGCAGCCAAGTGCATTCGCCTTATAATGATAGGTTGCGTCTAGTGGATTGAAGAGAGACAGAGAACGAGAATGTTCTCTACCACGCTGGCGTCATGAATTGCAATAGGGAGCGAAGGAGCGACAGAAGGAAAATCGATACTTGTGCGATGAAGAAAAAACAACGAAGCAGAATGAGCAGACGAGGTGAAACAGAGCTCGGGGACGGCGAGCCAAGGGGATCGCTGAAGGGTGAGGGGATTACCGTGGAGATTTGTAGCCTAGACTTCTACTCGTGAGTTTCAGGAAAACATCCGGGAAAATTCGAGAGCCAAGAAGCTTATTAGGGAAAAAGCAAAAAAGAAAAAAAACAGAGTTTCACTTCTCAGTTCTCAGAGTATTTTCTCGCCTTTCTCCTAAAAATTTAAATTTCAAAGTGTTTACAAGCTTCAAACGTCAAATTTCCTAGTAAACGAGATAAAAAACGAGAAACTTAACGAAGAACAGTGATGGGAAAACGAGAAAAGTGGGAC